TACGTATGAATGTGATGAATAGTGATGCTACGGCATCATCTAGTCCCCAATTGTGCAAAAGCTAGTAAAATGGCATCATTGTCATAAAATTATCATGATCATCATCATCATCAGCATCATCGTCATGATAATCATCATTTTTGTCATGATCATAATCATCATCGACGTCATGATGATGTCATGATGATCATCATCATCAACGTTATGATGATGTCATGATGATCATCATCGTCATCGTCATGATGATCATCATCATTATCGTCATGATGATCATCATCATCATCATGATGATCATCATCATCATTGTCGTCATGATGATCATCAACGTCGTCATGATCATCATCATCGCCGTCATGATGATCATCAACGTCGTCATGATCATCATCGCCGTCATGATGATCATCATTATCATCGTTATGATGTCATGATGATCATCATCGTCATGATGATCATCATCATTATCGTCACGATCATCATTGTCATCATCGTCATGACGATCATCATTGTCGTCATGATCATCATCATCATCATCGCCGTCAGATGATGATCATCATAATCTTTATCATTATCATCACCATTAACAATTTACCAGAGGTAAAAAAACCAACCGAATTGAGAACCTCCTTTTCTTGAAGTCGGTTAAAAAATTGACATAAACTAGCCAGACTGTTTTGGAGTATGAATATTGAATATAGTAACTAAATATAGGATTGCTGGCATTATAATATCATCATTACATAGAAAAACAAAACTAACTTTAACTATTTATATTGAAAAACTCAAAACGCAACAGTATGAAAAACTACATTTGTAGGTAGGTGAGCGAAATAAAAAACCTACCTACATCTTATAAATATTCAAGTTTAAAAATAACTAACCTTTGCTATCAGGTGTCTGATGATTCAAGGCAGCATCAAAGATGCAAGCAGTCATCTGAAATGACAAAAATGAATGTCAATAAAAATTAAATATTCTATCCATCTCTAACCAACCACACAGCAGGTATACATTTTTACCGAGAAAGATGGCCGTTAAATGTAAAATAAATTACCCCCACAATAATAAAAATAAGACTACATCGCATTTAAAATATTGAAATCAACATTTGCCACAATATTTCAACTATTACAAAGCTATAAACATGGGACTTGCAATCCGGCGGTTACATTAATAAGAGGGTAGGAGAATCGTAGAACACTTACTACTTTAACGGTGGTTTCAAAATGGCTCGGCCGACGCAGTATAAAGTATTTATCGCTGATCTTGTCCCGTTAGCCCGCCTATCCAATATTTTTTAACTTTTACATTACATATTTTAGAATTTATTTACAATAATTATAAAATATACGCACTCGCGGTATGTCGAAGAAGAAGGCTTGGGAGTGGCTCGTACGACGACCGCGTGAAAATTAAATTTCGAATGCAGCGATGCGTGACGAACTCTAGCTTTTGTTTTTTTTTAATGTATTTTTCGTGGCAAAGACATTAACCACAAAAGTAATAACGTTATCGTTATGTCTCGTAACATTTATCGTTTTTACTGATAAATATTTTTTTCGGAATTTGCAGTCTATTTTAGAGCTTCATTTGTTCTGGTTTGTGCTAAATATGGCAATATAGGTACCCTTGATGTAAATTGAATTTTATGCAATTTTCCGGAGTTGACGTAGAGTTTTGAACACAATATTTAGTTGTATTTTTTATATTACGAGTATTTTATGATAAAAGATAATAAAGTTAAATTATCTTTCGATTCTTCATTTTCATTTGTCTGTCATCTTTCACTTTGTAAATAAACTTTGAAAAAAGAACACACAAAGCCTTGTAAAAGAAATAGTTAACTAAAGTAATTAGTGTTACCAAGGGAAAAATAACATTTCATTTTCGCTCGTTTTTTTATCTGCATTAAACTTAAGATGGTCTTAATCGTATTTTAAGACGAGCTGGTGATTTAAATTGGTTGCAAATTTCAATTTATGTAATTCAAGTAATCCAAAGCGAATTAACGTGTAGAGTGACATAATACATGTACTTATAATTAAAGTTATTATTATTGTTAGCTTTTCCATACTCAGATCACGGTGTTGTGAACAATAATAGCCTAGTAGAACGTTTATTACACCATAATATTATTAGTACAATGAACATCGCAGAGACTGGCATACGTGTTGTGATAATAAATTAATATTCATACGTAACTGATACTACCTATGACGATTATCTTGACAAATTGATTTTGATAATTACTAACTTTCCTCATTTAGATTGTGTGATAGCTATGAAATTCGATCGCATAATATAATTAATTAATTAGTCTTATACAAGATTTCACCATCAATCCCTAATTTTTAAGTGACCCCTATGGTAACACATAACAGGAATTTTATTTTCATAGGGGTCACTTAAAAATTAGGAATTAATGGTGAAAACAGGCATTAGTCAGATTAATAGATAATTAATCCATAAATACATAAATCTGCTAATCTAATACAGTTCTGCGTACTATATGCCCTGGCGATTGAAACTTCAGCTTGCTAATCCGTTGGGCTATGTCAGCGATTTTCGTTTGTTTACGGATTTCCTCATTTCTGATTCGATTTCGTAAAGAAATACCTACTTAGCATAGCCCTCTTAATAGCCCTCTTCATAGCACGCTGTGCAATTTTGAGTTTCTTTATAAGTCCACCCACAAGGTGGACCGACAACCTCATAAAGGTAGCGGGAAGGCGTTGAATGCAGGCCGCCATCAACCGGCAATTGTGGAAATCATTGGGGGAGGCCTATGTTCAGCAGTGGACGTCCTATGGCTGAAATAATGATGATGATGATGAAATAAATAATTTATTCGTAACGTATCGATATACATTTGCCTCTTGTTAATATTTTAGATGATATCTATAGCGCTAAATTATCAATTATTTTTAGCAATGGCAATTACTAGTTGTAGATTAAACTTTCCATAGACAAATCCAATAAACACACAGTTTAAATGGCGCTAGTAGTATATTAATATTTAAATGTTGGTAAGTCCAAACTCATTGTCATTAAGTGGCGTGATTTCTGAAACGGCCAATCAGAAGAGTGGCGTGATTTCTGTAACAGCCAATCAGAAGAGGCCTACGATCGCATGATAATATCTAGGCACCCAATGGACACACGGCTATCTCTACCGTTAAATTTTAACTTTTGTATTTGTCGAATTCGTAAAATATCACTTCCATTAGTCAATTGCTCAACCAACTAGCATTTTTTATAGTAAACCGTACATACGTATCATTTTAATATCTAATTATGATTTTATAAAATGTTTTAATAATGATGGACCTCATAAATAAGCATGATGAAAATAATTTGTAAATTATTAAGTACTTGATATAGATGTCCAAAAACGACCCGTCCCAGCTACGACATTGATAGGCGGCGCTACTGTCTGTACTGGTTTATTAGTTCCGATTTTTGCCACTTTGGAAAGAACACTGAAAATGACTTTTACAGGAGGACGCTACTATCGATATTGGGATAAGAGAAATTTAGAAAAATAATCGCGAATAAATACTGATACAAAAAATGTTTATCATAAAAAATCCTTGTCAGAAGCTATCAATATTATTTGTTGAGTGTGCTGAGAAATGAAATCAATTCTCACCACGTTCCACTTGCGAGAAGGAAATGCCCGCATTAAAATCTGTCACGTATCCGTAAAATATGCAGTACTTTTCATTTTTCTTACACGATAACTTCTGGGGGATAATAATAATAATATGACTGGGGTGGAAATGTTCGACCATTTCTTTTCCGCCGTTTATCTTATTTCTTTGCCAATTTGGTGACGTCTTTACAGACATTTTTCCGTGTTTTATCTCGAAAAGGATGGATTTTCACGTGAAGCCAGCTCGTGGGAAAAGGAATGATAAGAAAAAATGTATCAAAGTATTGTTTGTTAGGATAAGAAATAAGTTTGCTCTTTTTATATTTTTTCTGATCTATTGTATTTGTGCGATAAGCGCAGAACTGACGGCCGATGGGGCAGCAAGTTTCTGGTTCGACGCAGCCACCTACGAGGTCGACCAACGACCTCATAAAGGTAGCATGAAGGCGCTGGATAGATACAGGCCACTACCAATAGGTCACTATGGAAATCATTGCTATGTGCTATGTTCAGCAGTGGACGTCTTAGAGCTCTATCAAATTACACAAGACAAGTCGTTCGTTTACAGGACCGCACACTCTGTTGGTAATTGTAATTGATTGTCATTTTTCCAACGAAGATGTAGGTAATTCAATTTTCAGTGTGCGGTTCTGCAAACAGATGACAAACGTCCGTCTCAAAACGTCTAATTTATGCGTGCTCTTATGGCTGAAATGATGATGATTATGAAACACTGTGGCATCTTATTACTTTTAGTACAAGCTTCATCGTAACAAAGATTTTCAGCGCGCTGTGTCGAAAGGACTCTGTGAGGTAGTTTAAATATGTTTACTCTTAGGTCACATTGCAAATTACCTTCCTAGCTAACTTAGATACGTGACTAAACTAAGGTTCTAACGAATTTACCTATAACCTACGCGACGTAACATCTCACCACTGTTAGTTCTCAGCTTACTACAGCCAGAAAATAAATTTGGATAAAATGCCTTACGATTTTTACTAAGAACACGACAGTCAAATTAAAAGGTAATGCTCAATATTCTTAAGACAGACAGAAATGCTCAATATGTTTGCTATGACTTTTAAGCTTTTACCTAATACTGGCAAGTATTTTTGGAGGTCTTTATTCAGCAGTTGAATCTTTATACTTACGTGGGCAGGCCTCCCACTAGTTGGACCGACGATCTGGTGAGGGTCGCGGGAGGTGCCTGGATGCGAGCGGCGCAGGACCGGTCTTTGTGGAAATCCTTGGGGGAGGCCTTTGTCCAGCAGTGGACGTCTTTCGGCTGAAACGAACGAACTTACCATAGTTTGTACATTATACTTACTTCTAATCTTCTTTGTCTCTCAGGTGTGGGTGGAGCGTAGCATCGAGTTCTGCACGGAGAAGTGGCCAAACTCCATGAGGAAGGAGCTTTTCGGCACCTTCAGCTTCATCCTGGTCTATGCCGTGCCAGGTGAGTAACTAACGCCCGTTTTCACCATCAATACCTAATTTTTAACTGACCCATATGAAAACAAAATTCCTGTTATATGTTACCATAGGGGTCACTTAAAAATTAGGGATTGATGGGGAAAACGGGCATAAGTAAACTATTTTTTTTAATGCTTTAGATGGGTAGCTAATAAAGGTACAAGTTGGTAGCGGACGACATGAGGCAGCAGCGGACAACGTGTCGTAGCGACTACTGGTTTCTATGTAAGAGCGCTTTCACATTAGGGCGTTAGTAGCGCGACAGCAGCGTGGCAGCGGCGTTTTTATAATGTGAAGGCAGGCTTCCGCTGTCACATAGTATGAAATTTTCGGCAGCGCGTCTGTCGCGCTGCTAAATCGTCTAAGAGTAGGCGCACACCGTTGATTTTTCGGCGGCCGATAGTTTAGTCGGGCTGTTGATCAGTAAGGGCATGTATGGGAGTGCGCACACTACGCCGATTCGATTTGGCCTATTCTTAATACAATTTGAAATCGGGCACAACTATCGGCCAACTAAAAATCAACGGTGTGCGCGCCTACTAAATGTGAAAGCACTCTAATGCCCGTTTTCACCATCAATCCCTAATTTTTAAGTGACCCCTAAGCTAACATAATATAACAGAGAATTCTGTTTTCATGGGGGTCACTTAAAAATTAGGGATTGATGGTGAAAACGGGCTTAAGGCTTATTGCAAGCGACACGTCGCCTGCAAGTATTTCATAATACATAAGTGACATCATGGCGACATGTAATAAAGATATTATGATTATGATTATGTCGTCTGCTGCTGCCGCGTGGAGTCGGCTGCTAACTGATACCTTTAGTGTACAACCGGTCAATTTAACTGCGCACCTGGTGGCCGTTACGTCATATTCCAGCGAGATGCGCAGTTAGCTCTATCGGGTTGTATTTGGCATTTACATGCTCCTAAAAATAGTTAAAATAACATTTTTATAAGAAAAACAACGTTAGTTAAGCTTCTTATCAACAATAACTGAAATTACCTATCTAAAGTTAATTGGACGCTTAGCAAGTCTCTGGAGATGTAAGACTGTCTGAAACATTTCTATCTGAAATGTTCTCTATATTTTTGGTTTTCGAGGGATTGAAATTTTAATGATCATTAAATTTTTAAGTCTGAATGTAGATAAGGCTTTGCATACACTAGAAAAGGTAGGTAAGGTATTATTCAAAAGAGTTAAACGGTCTCGTTTGCAGTTTCATAAATATACCGACTTGAGAAGTAAACTCTTGGGTACGGATAGCTGTAACACGTATGTGAGTACATACCTGGTCTACTACCTGCCTACCGAATTACCTTGTAATGTTTTTTGGCATCTCTTTGACGATTTAAATTATTTTTATTATTATGACATCTAAAGTTATTAGTCTTTCACGCTCGAAGATTTCCCAAGTAAGTACTTAACAAAGAGAGACTGATAGAATTTATTATTAACGTTCTTAAAAGGGTCCTAGGATATTTTATAAATCTAATTATTAGAATTTTGCTAAAACTACTTTCACCAATGCTCGATAAAAAGCACGTTTAATTCTTTTCATCTGTACGTGACTTAGGTCCAAGCTATTGACCGACTTTACCAAGGTCTGGCTTCGTGATAGAGTCCAATCACGCGTTATTTATTTACGTTTCTATAAAATATCGCCGCTATTAATATAAACCGACCCTTTTCAGACGTATGAGTTACTAAATTCCGCTGTTCCCACACGGCCACGGGAATTAGGTACTGGCACATAAAATTCCCCCATAAAAATTCTTCACATTACTTCCCAAATTGAAATATGACTTGAATATTGTTATTACTCCTTAATAAAATGGCAAATGGCAGATGTTCCGAAGCAGGGAAATTAAAAATTCTCGGTTTATTCCGGAATCTGATGGGTTTGTCAGATTTCCGGACGTGGAATTTGAAGGCTTGTTTGCGGTTGATTTGATAATTTGATGTGAAAAGTATTTTTTGGTGAGGTTGTTATTGGAATTCGGTTTGGAAGGAGGCTATTTTTGCCTTGTCGCATTAGAATAATTTGGTATTTTAATGCGACATGGCCAAAATCTCATCCTTCCTTCCTTTTGGTAGGTACACAATAATTTTAGCGACACAAACGTAATTTACAAAGACGTTTTCACTTCAAAGCTGTGTCATTATCATCGTCATCATCTTAGCCATAGAATGTCCACTGCTGAACATAGATAGGCCTCCTCCAATGCTTTCCATGTTGCCCCGTTGGTAGCGGCCTGCGTCCGACGCCTTCCTGCTACCTTTACGATGTCGCACAAGGGGTCCGTCCCACGCTGCGTTATCCGGTACGCAGCCTCCACTCCAAAATCTTGCTGCCCCAAAAAAGCTGGGTAAAAGTTGTGTACATGAGATACATTTTATTTATTTTGGAATAATAATAATTATGATAGGAAAAATGGAATAATAATTATATTATAATAATTTAAGGATACAAATGTGTATGGGTAAAATAGACAGTAAAATATTTTGCGATAATATACATACAAGCACTTATTGAAATAACATAGATACCACAGCATCTGCCTTGATGTATCGTGGTTTGTACAGATCGTGCTGACCAAACATTTCGTTAAGCCTTGCGGGCTCACATCCCGCAACCACATTTGCTTTGTACTGGGTAGTGGTGTCTGTAGAACTGACCACTATTGAATGCACACTCGGCATCAGAATGCAAAGCAGCGGTCTTGTACAGTCATGGTCAAATATGTTTAACTTTAACTGGGCTTAATTATTATTATAATTCCGTGAAATTGAGTGACAGTCACATAATTATATCACTCACGCTCGCATAAGAAACAATAACGATTTTAGATTTTTCGATCTTAGAATAGAGGACTAATTTGCCCTTAAAACTACAGTGTAAAGTATCTTTAACTTAATAGACTTTCTTCAACAATTATAAAGCAATTAATGTTTCACATCTATACTTCTAATAAATCTGTAGAGAGGTCAATTCTGTACATGAAATATATTTTCAAAATAACTATCAGGGGATGATTAGTGATCGATACTGATGCCAAAAATGCAATCAGTAAAATTTTTGTCTGTCTGTCTTTCTGTCTGTCTGTCTGTTCCTTATAGAAACAAAAACTACTTACTCGACGGATTTTAACAAAACTTGGTACAATTATTCTTCATACTCCTGGGCAGGTTATAGTATACTTAGGAATTCCCACGGGAACGGGAATTAACGGGAAAATCCATTTGTATGAAAAATCTAAACCGCTTAAGTTAGACGCTTGAAATTTGGCATGCAGGTACCTTAGTAAACTTAAAGCTTAGTTACAACAGGATATTCCAAAATTCCCACGGGAACGGGAGTTAGCGGGAAAAAACATTTGTATGAAAAAATTTAAACCGCGTAAGATAGATGAAGGGGGTAAAACGGGATCTACGCGTACGAAGTCGCGGGCGGCCGCTATTTCTAAAAAAAGTATGTTATTACCCAAAATATTTGATTCGAGCGTAGCAAATATTTCAATAAACCTTTGTAAAGTAATTTGTAATTTTCAATTCAGTTCACCTCTATTATTAGAATAGGCAATTTTTTCATGAGGCCGATCAGAGCTAGCGGATTATTGAATATTAAGGCCGTACTTCGCTCAAGTACCGTACTTTAAGGGATTACCTTCAGCGTCAAACACAATCCGATTACGACTTGTGTAACGATCTCATTATAATATCGAAATTAAAGCTTAATAAAAAATTATGTGACATAATTGGCAACCATTTTTATCTTGTAAAAGTTACGTGGAATATTCTTATCAGGATAAAACGGGATAATCTGACACTCTTAATTAAGCCATTTTACCTCAAGGGCGGCATGATTTTGATAATTTAATTTACTTCCTCTTGTAGATAGAGTGTAGGTGGGTAATCAGAAAAAAATAAACAATAATGTTTCAACTAAATACTAACAAGGGAAAAACTAAGGTTGACTAAAATTTTTGACGGATTTAATACTTTTTTTTTTTGAGTTTTTTTTTTACATAAAACTGATAACCGATCATTTACGGATGGCTCTAGTTTTGTGAACCAGGTTGATTCTATCTCATACATACGATAAGACATCATAAGTATTTCTTTTATCAGTGGGTTCTAAAAAGTGTCTCAATATAAACATAAAATTCATTTGTAAGCGTATAACAAATAATTAATTTGTAAGCGTATAAAAGTTTAAAGCAAAAATGTATATCTTACTTTGCCCTCGACTGTGTCTAAATCCCTTTTGATCAAATTACAATTTAATAAAACGTGACTCTTAAATTAAAAATTATTGTAATGGCGTTTATTCGGATCGTTAATTTTGTATTCAGATTTATGTAATTACGAATCCTATTTCGCATTCAAATACTCCGCATTAAATTATATTTCAATTCGAAAGATCAGTATAATTATACAGAATTATTATCAATAGTCTAATAAAATTGTATTATTGATACATAAAATTATTAAAATTCCGTCCTGTGTTAAAAAAACATCCTTTTGAAAAAAGTATATATTAGTAAGATGTTACTAACAATAACGGAAAAAGTTGTGGTGTCTAATGATACCTATTGGCAACAGTATTTTCTGAGAAAATTAAATGTTTGTATCCAAACTGTATCTTTTAATTAACATCTTTTCCAGGAAAATATGATTTTATTCGTAACTAAAATTAATTGTAAGTTTCACTATTCAAATAAAGTTTAAGTTTAAAGTTTAGTATAATAATTATAACTTATGAGACAATAAGTCTGTCTATTTTTTTAGCGCAAATATACTTAGGTTTTATGAAGTGCTTTCGTTTCGACGAAATGTTTTTAGAACTGTTCAAGTTCATAATATATATCAAGAAAATATTCTAGGAATTCGAGATGGTACTCAACATTTTCATTGTGGTTCAAAAATCTTATTTGCTAGATGTGCTTAAGTATTTGGGAATATTTACGCATGAAAAATGTGTAATACGATGAAGCTCTTATTTATTTTTTGTATAAAATACTAATTCTTTTTAATCACTGAAGTACATAATTCTGTCGTTATTTAATGTTGGTAAAAAGAAGTACCTACATCATTGGCTGCGTTAAAAATAATACTCACATACTCTGGTATGGAATTCTAGTTACATTTAAATATGAAAAAAAAAAAAACAAATTAAAAGCAAACGTAATTATACTCTCGCATGAATGTCCACGTAAGTAGATAAGTTTATACAATCATGAATTACTTGAAATTCCTCGGGCCTATGTCATAAAACAAAAGTGTCCTTTTCCCTTTCAAACAAACAATTTAGTGTTTACAGAACCCGCAAATTGAAAGTACCTACACATGTAGAGGTCGAATGCTAAAATAATACTTACTTTTGTAAAAAGAGTTTCAAAACTTTCCAAATGAAAGAGGAATTATTTTGAGTACTCATAACGTTGTCAGTTTTTTTAACTAGATACCAAAGAAACGTTATTTTACTTTACAGGATCTATAGTTGTGGTGTCGTATTCACTGATGGGGCGCCGACTGTGCTCAGTGCTGCCGCCCTTCGACCAGACGGAGGGAAGCGCTAACAGCCAACAGGTGAGAAAAATAATTATAATGCATTTGCGCTGTGATGTCAATAAAATAATACACATAGACACAAAATTTACTACTCGTTCGCGCTAAGTTTGCCGGTCCGTAGAATGCGCGTCCCCTCCCCCAACCGCGACTAAACGCAATTAGTTAGTGATAAACGCAATTTTGTCTTATTTTACGCAAATACACACTTTTTATCAATATAATAATAAATAAATAATATTTTAAATACCTAAAGTTTGTCATAGTTATAGACGCTTCCCTTCGAGTGACATCATAATTATCGCCAGCAGCAAACTTAAAGCGAACGGATAGTACGCTCGTGTTCACAAACATTACTATGAGGTTTCACAGTGCACGTGGATGCACAGGATGACACACGAACCAATCACAAAGCTCTATTAAATGCTGTGCGTTCGATTTGCTGCTTCACTTAAACAAGTTTCGTTTATGAATACGGGCGTTAATCTACTTTCAATTTATTATTCCATTTATCGCATGTAGATTTTTTTATTTTGGAACTGAATAGGATCACGATAATATTCTAGCACTCGGTGGGGATCGAACTAGCGACCTATTGAATCGGCAATCCGATGCTGAAATTAAAACTATTTTTCATTTGTAGCCCTTTCCCTTTTTATGTCACTTATATCGTTACACCTATTAATATCGTACATTACCGAGGATAATGATAAAATGGATTAAACCATAGAAAAAAATAAAAGTCACAATGATATTATCGTTATAATTTCAAAATTCAGAAATGAAATTTCAAAAGCTTTCATAATCACGGTATCGATACTTTTGATTCGGTAACCTGCGAAGCTTAAAAAATTACTTTTTGATGAACGACAAAAATTCCAAACCTAATTTAGATTTCCAGGTTAATATATATTGTAAGAGTAGGATCGTTTAAATGAGTTTTCAAAACAAAATTGTTATTGGTACATTTTTTACATTATCATAACCGCTTACCTACATACCTATCCTTCTGGAAAAGGTGGGCGCTGGGATCGGCACTGGGATATTTAAATTGTTTCAGACCCTACTATGCGCATTATTTAACCCATAAGTAATATTATATAGACCGCTGGTAAAAATGTTCCTTGGATGCTAATAATCCCATCAAAAACATAAATGTGTAATGAGCGCTAAGTTCAATATTAACTTGTGACACCCTAAGGGCCCTCGCCCACGGCGACTTTTGTAGTGATGCTGTCGCGCGTTTCGTAAACGAGCGATAGCATCGCTACTAACGCGCGTTAGACGCATTTGCAACTGAGATTTGCAACGCACTACTGAAGCGATGCCAACGCGCTACTAACGCGCTACACAATTGCAACTGTTTCGACACGGATGCGCGACCGTGTCGGACGACATCGGGGAGAGAACGGAGGGAGGGTTACTGAATCGCGTTTGCATCGCATTTATGTGGGCGAGGGCACTAAGTGGTCAATTGATTTCTATTGTGTCTCGATTCACTGGTACTTGAAGGGATAAGAATGTGTCGTCATTTATTGACTTCGCAGGCCAAGCTCAAGATTTGACTTGGCTACTTTATTGAAGAGGCCCAGTAGCTTATTCATTCATAATTGTACGCTGGAGCGAAAGGCTACTGAAGCGAAACACTCGCGGCCGAAAAAGTACCTACTTTTGCTGACCTAGGAGAGCTTAATTTTGATTTTATTTTTTATCATTGACATTTAGTAGCAATTTAATTTCATGAAAATACATGTTATTTCGTACATTGTTACCTAGGTCAGCAAAAACACTTTTTCGCCGCGAGTGTTTCGCTTCAGTGGCCTTTCGCTCCAGCGTACAACTATGAATGTTTTTCGCAAAACGTACTTCGCTAAATCAACCTTCGCTACTACGTACGGGATAACGGGACCCCCTTATTCTTAGTACTTCAATAACTCTCTATACCTTTGTATTTTGTGGTTCCATATAGCTTATATCGGCTTTTCATAGCCATTAAATTCTAATTAAGCCAATAAGTTACTTAATGAACGATACCAAACTTCGAATACAAGTTTTGAAGGTATTTGAAGTATTTTGCTCAGTCTTGACTTGCGATGGAACCATTTATTTCAAACAGTTTAAAGGTGAGATAGGAAATTCTACAATTTATATCTTAGTTATGCAACTATAGTTTAAAATAAAAAAATAGATAGTAATTAAATTATATCTAGTATTTCTCATGAACCAGTAAAGTAATCGCACACAGAAATACTTGGAATTGACGTAAGTTTCTAATTTTGTCTAAGATTTAGTATATGATACTAATAATTCTTGCGCTGCTTCTCCACAGTACCCTATGTATTGTCTCGAAACATACGCTGTTTCGAAAGGATGGGATGGGATAATATGTAGGGTTAAAGTAATGGGACGACGCGAATAAGTGCAAAAATGACTTTTGACTCTACTAATCTAGACAATCAGTTAAAACATTCGGGCTTATGTGTGAATGAGTACAGAGCGTGGGTTATCAGGTTCAATTATCTTGAAATATTATCTTAACTTGAACCATTAATAGTATTATGGAAACAATTGAAAATGTCATGGCCTGTGAAGAGGGTCTGTCGACCTCCGTTAGCGGCAGGCCAATCAACCGAAAATACGAAAGCTATTATTTAAGTTAATATTGTACCTTTGATTACACAATTTACTGTTTCGCAAATCAATCTGTGACTTATATAGAATTTTGGTACTGTAATTATTACTATTTACTTGAAATAAAACAGTTAATTATAGTTTAAGTTTGATTTGGAAACTAAAACTAGTTAAAATAAATTAATGGCATTGGCAAACCTTTGATTTGTAAGTATTTTAAAATCAATGTAGGTATGATGAGTTTTAACAATATCCATTGATCTTACAAGCTTAGGAAAGTCTATAAATTCTCATAAGTTCCACACAGCTTTTGAATGTTTTATTATTCAACTAGCTTTTGCCCGCGGCTTCACCCGCGTGAAATTTATTTTGTCATTAGATCGTCATAAATTATAGCCTATGTTAATCTGGGTTATAAACAATAAAAATGTAAGGTTTTAACAAAATCCGTTCCGTAGTTTTTGCGTGAAAGTGTAACAAAAATCCAGACATCCAGATATCCACACAAACTTTCGCATTTATGATATTAGTATGATATGTTATTCACGAGTACATATCTTTATTAAAGCTTAGAAACAAGAGAAAAAGAAAAACATTATCTGAGAATGATTCAGTACAAACTCGAAGCGCATTAAAAACCAATTTTCTTGGCTTTGTCTCGTAAACAATATTTTTGCAATAAATTGGAGGAGACCCTTCAAGAGAAAATATTATGTATCTCGCAATATGTAAACATTTATTGTTCAGTGAATCATACAAAAAGGTAATGGAAGGACAGTTATAGATGATTGATTCTATATTTGGATGAAGAAAGGTCCAGAATGTTTGGAAACTAAGGCTGAGTTGCACCACCTAACTTTGGCCGTAACTTTAACGATAACCGGTGTATTTTGTATGGAGTTTGGCAAATTTTTGACGTTTGTTAAAGTCAAAGTAAGATGGTGCAACCAAGCCTAAGGGTCGACCTTGACTAATAGTAACGACAATATTAATAGTTGTATTTTATAAGCGGGTGGATCGGATAACATTGTGCGTATCCACGGAATTGAAACGAAATAGTCATTGTTAATTTCTATTTAGACCCTCTTCATAGTTGTTGTACTGTTTACCCTACCAGCGCTTCAAGACCAACATTTCAATAACAAACACAATTTTAGTTACCATTATGTATTGGCGAGGAATAAATTTTCTTCTCTCTACCAATTATCTGCAACAACAAACACGACTCTATTATCCTTACACGCCTAATCCTTGATGTACATGATTCGAGTTTGCGATACGCGTGCGTTTCAGGAGGGAAATGTATTTAGGCTCTCGCGGATTGCGTTTACCCACGACAGGGAAAAGCGCTTTTACACTTCCCATTATTATTATTAACCTACCATGGATTCGGGACAATAAATTGGGCCAGTGCTGAGAAGAAACTGTGCAAGAAACGTCGTATTTAACGAATAAAGTGTCAGAGTAAACTAATGCCCGTATTCACAAACGATGCGCGCTTAATGAACGCACAGTGTTTAATAGAGCTCTGTGATTGGTTCGTATGTCACCCTGTGCATCCACGCGCACTGTGAGACCTCATAGTAATGTTTGTGAATACGGGCGTAAGCTTGAGTAAATCTGCTGTTTACGTTAGTACGCAACTTACATAAGCCGCTTGCACGTGTACCAACGTGATGTGATATTAATTGGACGGTAATTATGAGGAGACTCGCGCCAAGACGATATAAAGCTAAGTAAATTGATGGCTTTGGAGTCGAGAATCAGTTTGAAGAGTTAATTAATTTACAGCGAAGTTTGGAGACGGAAGGCGTTGAGGAATATTTGGTTCTGGATGGAATTAAGATGTCAATGGTTAAAAGTATTTGTGGTTTCAAATAGCAAGTGAATTTAAAGCAATCTGGGAATGGTAACTTGAAAAATAAAGTTTAACCATCATCAGGTCATTTTGGTGTAAACTGCAGGAGTACAACCTTCTATATTTTATCGGAGGAAAATGGAGAAGGGTTTGACCTACAATCCCCACGCTAGTTGATCGAAAAAAAGGACGATTATTCTTCTTATCGTGTCGACAACAAACCTACACAGTGTCAGCCCAAAACATTGTCAGATAGGAGTATCGTTATTTCGCGTCTTTTGGGTCAATTTTCGCAAATATCGGTGATCAACTATTGCAACACATTTTCTCTTAATTCCAGAGGATACGCCTGGTCCGAGAAAGGAAGAGGGTGGCGTGGATCCTGCTACTCTTAGCAGTGCTATTTGCTCTCTGCTGGCTGCCGTACAATATCCTGCAGCTGTTGGTCGACGTGAACGCGGTACCGGTGGATTCAGTGTCGAGCGCGCTGCCGTATACGCTTCTTCTGGGTAAGTTGTCATTACTTGTGCCTGCATAAGTACTTGTTCAACTGTTCTTGTTCATGTAAAGGTATGACATACTTTGTGTGGATGACGTCTTATGATGATCTTCTAGACCAAAAACCTTCTTACATGATTTTGCTTGCTGAAGTCTAAGAGCTAAAGCACTAGACGCGTTGCGGTGGTGGTGCGACGTCACAGCAGTGTCGCTGCTGCTGAAATATTTGTGGCGGACACCCAAGTGGTGCGGCGCCGTGTCGCGCGTTACACGGCGAAATCTTTTCGTATGCTTTGGCTCTTAGCAAACTATCTACAAGGTGGAATTTTGTAATACCACCTGGAGGGAAAGTACTCTTAATATTGTAGATAGAAAAAATGTTCTCAAAGAAAACATTCCTTTATTTTTCAAAAGAAATAGAACTGCATTCAAAGATTTCAAAAAATTTGCTTGTCACACCCGGGAATCGAACCAACTAAAATCTGTTAAAAATTACACCCTGTATTTTTATTACATCGATCGTTAGGGTTAAGTATAAGGATGAAATCTCTCTAACATACTTGATAAATCAAATGAAAGGAAAACCATGAAATCTTAAATTATTTTAATTATGTTACAAAAAATGAATTTACGAAAAAAGTATGGTAGTGAATTTTCGAAAAAAAAAAAAAAAAACAAAAATCTTTGAATGCAGTATTTTTTCTTTTCAAAAATAAAGGAATGTTTACTTCAGTAAAATGTTCTATCTACAGTATTAAGAGTACTTTCCCTCCAGGTGGCATTTCAAAATTCCACCCTGTATAACACCATGACTTTAGAAGTAGTAGACTTTAGTTCTATTCTACTGCCACTTATAGGCCAATCGTGTGTATTCCAGGGCACGCGAACTCAGCCATCAACCCGATCGTGTACTGCCTGATGACGCGCAACTTCCGACGCTCGCTGCGCAAGCTCATCTGCCACGACACCGGTAACATAAACTCTAGTACTCTACTCCATGTAAGTTCATACAGATGTACGCTCGTTGGGTGCCAACAATTCCTTGCTATCTAGTACAATTTATAATTGAATATTAAAATAGTAAAAAAAGGTTATATTTAAAAAAAAGAAGTTATAGAACCTACTAAAATTATAAGCCTTCGTTTAAAATGTAGGCTATAACAAAACAATTTAAGTCACATCACTGAGGTCGTACAATTGATTAATTGAAACTATTTTTCAGTCGAACTAAGAAATTCATATCACTAAAGTATTCCATGCAAGAATTGTAACAAAAATATCTAAAGTTCACTGAGGAAATTTCTGAACCCAAGTTTTTATCTCTGAAGTTCACAGAGGACTTTTCATTTTGAAACTCAAAACCTTGAAAAAATCAAATTAGTAGCTTATTTAAGGCAATATGCTTTTCTTCCTTAAAAAATATCAGATTTCCTGTGCCTTCGGCTTTTATGTTATTTGAGACGGTATTTCAATCACTTTTTGACACCTAACTAAAAAGAAAACATTAATCTCACTTGATTTAATAAATTATTGAAATAAAAGGCTCATTTTGCACCAGAATGACTGATCAAAAGATTGTTATGTCAGTTTGGAGTATCCAATTTATCGTGAAATGTAATTTAAAAACATTCCCATAAAATACTATGAAACAAAGAAGCGAAAAACATCTTTCTGCGATTTTTCATCGCTTTGTCCGTTTCGTAATTTCACAAAGAGATTTTCTCAATGACCTGTAGTTTTCGTTTGTTTTGTTATTTTGTGTTTCTCGACAAGTTTCAATTAAATAAAATATGACGTTTACATCCTAATCCTACATAATATGTAACATATTATGTTACTATTTGGCGATTATCGAGAAAATTGATGATGAATGAAAAAAGTAAAGACTAATAATGAAATAGGACCTTGCATTTTATAAAATTTACTATATAATTAATTTGTGGTTAAGTAAATTATGCAATTTGCTTTTTGCTAATTTGCGTGGTTTGCAACTGAGTATCAGAAATAAATAGAAAGAAACAGTTTAAAAGTAACACGGGAATTGTTGTCAACCAACAGCTTCATGTTAACAGTATTTAATTTATTCATGCTCTTTAAATAAGTTATTAAATTCAAGAAAGTAAAATTACTTCTGAGCTTACGCTTTTAAAAATAATTTTTATTTTCAGTTTGGTGTCTTTCAACTAAAGTTCCAGTTAATATTTCCGTTAAAATTATATTTTGCAAACGCCACGCACTCTGCGTGCTTTCAAATTTCAATCTCTGACAGTTTCTACTTCGCGTCATGCTTTCTCTTGAAGAAATCATATGCTTACGCTTCTCACACTTAACGTAAAAATTAGACACCAACCTAATTACGAGTACCTAACAGAAACGCCCATAACCTAACATTTACTAATTACAGCAGGCTTATCCCCAACAGATGCGCGGATTGCATCAAAAGTCAACCACGTGTAGCTCGCGGACTTGCAGTACTCGGACTTGTAGTACGCGTACTTGTACTACACTGCAGTGCCGAGGCAGTCACCGGCGATACAGCAGCATCCAGTACGGAAGGAGTGGCGGATGGAATCGGTACCAGAAGTCGCCGCAGTTTTTGTAAACGACACCAGATTACGAAATTCCACCCTGTTTAGAGCATCTTTAAATTAATGCTATTTCTCATTGTCACTGGGCACAATAACATTTATTTCGAAATCGCTTCGCGGTGCGAACGGTCACGTACTTTGCAACTTTGTCTTGGCACTCTGATAATTTTGTAGTAAACGATAAATAACTAAATACCTATATCGGTTTATTTTATTTTAATGTAAACAACGAAATTATTACGAATGTGTTTTAAAGGAATCGAATAAAAATATTATTATGTTTAGTAATGTTTTTTATTAAATACAAAATTGTGGTTTAGTCGTAGAAAGTAAGCAAAAAAAGGGCAGGTAATAATTGTAAAAAAAAACATAAATAAAAGCCTAATGCTAATGCAACGAGCAACGATAAAAATTTTAGCTTTTAGATTTTTAATTCTTATTCTAGACCTGGCATTTAAATTCATTATAATTATGTACAATAATAATACTAAAGTTTGAACGAATTGTAAAAAGGCTAAGTTAAATGTATGTAAGGTATTTTTATACGTGTGTGATATGCAGTAAAAAGGCAATTTGTAACTACATAGCAATTGAAAGGTAAAACTATTTGAAAGTAAATGGGTCTTCAATTAGAAAAGTCAAATCCATTTGATTCAATCCACAATAAATGCAGTCTTAGTTCTTATTTCTATGCAAAATATATGTGTGAAGGAATAGCGTTTTAGCAATTAATAATAAGTAAATATTAGGTTCTGTCCACTACCCAGTAGTCTGTGAGCATTCATATAAATAAAATAAAAATTCATAATGCAGCATGTTGCTGAGGATTCAGTGCTAATTTACTATTATTACTTACAATATTATTGTAAATATCGTTGTATTAATACTTATTGTAGTTAGATGTATATTATTATTAAATAAAATGATTCGATCATCATCAAAATGATTCATCGATGTTTTTAACGTCACTGCGGTCTCCAGTTTACATAAACAACCAAAAACCAAAATAAACTATCACTGAGGTTCAATTTGGTTTTGTGGCGAGTTAATTCGATGCCGAGTATACATTTAAGTTTATTTTTAATCACAATTAACATACATTGAAGCTGAGATTGTAAAGCATTTTAATTAGACTACGCATTTAATATCTAGTCATTGTTAAGTACAAAATAAATGATTTTGACGTTTGTTGTTTATTTTTATAAAGATTGTAAATAGTTATTTAGAATAATTATGAATGGATCAAAGAAATTATAGCTGTCGACAGTTAGCTAGACAGTTTGAAGAGGAAATGTATAAAACATAATATTTTAAGAGCTATGCTTATGGCAGTAGGACTTTAAATTATATTGATGATTTCGACCACATTTTTTATAAGAAATTGACTAAAAATTATTCATGACAGTTTCGATTACTATCATCATACCTACAAAAGGGATCCATTGTACAGTCATATTTTTATTTATGTAAAATGGTATAACAAATAACAAACTGTACGTAATACTGTTGATGTATTTGATTGTAAATAAATTATATTTTAGAAAAATAATGGATTTTCATTTTCAACTTCTAGCTACTCGTAGAAAAGCATAAGTAAAATAGGCATATTAAAGTTTTAAAAAATCTAGTGAATCTCCAAAACCTTAAAAAGTCTGTATTGAATAGAACCATCACAACGTCCACGATTAACTCAAAACCTTATTTACGTCATGATATTCATAAATATTATGGAAACGAAAAAACATATGTTTGATTACATATTTAAATAGTAGACTTGTTTAATACACATCTTGTAATAACATTTTAAAACAGCGCATAAGCGTGCGCTACGAAAAATATTCAATTTCGTAGTCAGTCTAGCTCGTAGTGTTCGTAGCACCGTAGCGCGCTCTCGTAGCTTTAACATGAACTACGAGTACTTTCACCTGCTACAAGTCTACAACTGCTTAGAACCATTCAGAACTGACTTTGGGCCATTATGGTTTATAATTTTGGCGTTTATGTAAATTTATTAGCTAAAAACTAGGTTTTGTCTCTTTTGACGACACTTTGGATGAAAAGTTCAGAAGCTTTTAGTTTACCATTGGTTAGATAGATGGCGTTACGAGAACAGAAAATAGTTGAAGTTTGGTTTTTAGTATTTGTTTTTTGTTTGCACTGTGTTTGCACTCTTAGTAGGTAGGTAGAAAGTGATGATAAGGTTTCAGACGAGGACCCAAGTTACAAAATCGAAAAGACAAACATATTTACTTATCGCACGTTCATAATCAAACTGTCACTATACAAAAAAGTCGATTTTTCAGGAAAAGCATTTGAAATACTCAAATTTTAAAACCTTTGCAAAGTGTGCTAAATGTTCTTAAATGTTTTGTTTTTTGTTATATACCAGTAGTGGCTTGTTTGGCTTTTACGGGAATATAATTATCTTTCAAATTATCATAATGGTTTATTTAATATTTAATTTTTTCCCTAAAAATAGTGTCACTTTTCCACTAAAATTGAGACAGTGACAGTTTTCAATTAAAAACATGTTAATGTTGTATTATTAATTCCGGTAGAAATGTCACTATTTTCATATAAATTTGATGATGAAAGATTAAAAAATGATTATTATTAAATAAAACTAACATAGAAAAATCAGTAATTTTAATGAACTTAAAACTTTATAATTTGGATTAAGTGGTACCTATGGTAACGGTAATAAATGTAAATTCTCGATCAGAAATAAATACGTTACACACATGAAATTACTATAAAATTACATCACATAAATCAACTTCTTAAAAAATAAGGTACTCTTTTGTTCAGGCAGCCTTTAAACAACAAGAACTTGATGACCTCGATGAACTTGACGAACTAGATAGTGATTTTTCATGGGAAAAGGGCTCAGAGAAGTAGGTTTAAATTCTGGATCATTATCCAGCGGCCATTACCTCTGCGAGCTATGTGCCCCGGCCACTGCCACTTGATTTTAGCGATTCTGCGGGCTATGTCGGTCACTTTGGTTCTCCTGTGGATCTCCTCATTTCTGATTCCATCACGTAGGGAAACTAACTGAGCATCGCACGCTCCATCACCTTTTGGGTGACCTCTCAGATCCATAAAATATCACTGGCAACACACACTGATCAAAGACTTTTGTCTTGAGGCACTACGGTATTTCGGACGTGAGAATATCATTAAGCTTCCCGAACGCTGCCCAGCCGAGTTGGATTGACGATTGACCTTTTTCTCGAAGTTGGACCTACGTAACTGGACTGTTCGTCCCAGGTAGACATAAATTGTCAACAAACTTTCGAGAGTAGAGTCTCCAGATGAGTGGATACTACATGGACATTTAGGCCATCGACTTAGGCCATCGAGCATTATGCCTAGATCTTCCACAGTCTCAGCCATGATTACGACATCGTCCGCAAATCGAAGGTGGATGATATACTCGTTGATATTTATGCTGAATCCGCTCCAGTCCAGAAGCTTGAAAACATCTTCCAGGGCGGTGTTGAACAGTATCGGAGATATTATGACGTGTCCCTGTCTCACCCCTTGCTGCAACTGGATGAGTTTCGAGTCCTGATCCTGGAGACGAACCGACATTGTGGCGTTTTCGTACAAGCCTTTCAACACTTCGATGTATCTATAGTCAATTTGGCACCGTTGGAGAGACTGTAGCACTGCTCAGATCTCGATCGAATCCAAGGCACTTTCATTTCTTTATAGTTACTTTTGTGAAGCCTCAATGTAACCTTGTTGGTGATCGAATAAATAAATAAATAGTCCACAAACGCTAGATAAAGTAGTAATTACCTTGATAATTTCTTTTATTTTACTAGTGTTTGGATTGACTGGTGGCATTTTTGTTAGCTGTTAAAAAAAATAACTACTTAATCATTTAAAAATCTTTCTTGTTGTTTTAATTAATATTACACAATTCGGATAAACACAATATTCTACGAAATGATGGAACAATTTTCTTAAAAATGTAAGAGAAATATTGTCATTTTTTGTTTTAAGGCGTTTTTCGTATTACTTTATTGTGACTTATCTTAATGATTTGGAGTAAAAGCGTCTTTATGCTAAAAATGACGTTTTTCAACACAGAGTCCACATAACTATCACGGCGTGCCCGTCCAGTTCCCGTCACTACTAAAAACGTGTCACTGTTACTCACAACATATGCCGGTTTCCCCATTAAACTCCATAACGACACTAGTCATATCTGCCGAACTATTTGAGTTTTAAGCGTGGGATTTTTACAGCATGCACTTTTCGCGGAGCTCTGATAGATGGTGTTGTTAACTCAATTTCTCCCAATTTCGTATAGTGACGGTTTGATTATGAACGTGCGATATGTACAGAAACGTAGTAATAGATATAGCTGATTGGATATTATAATTATATTTTTTGTCAATATTTTGTGCTAATTAATAAATTTTATGTTTTGATGGATACACATAAAAAAAGTTATGTTCATTCTTATATTTTATTAAGCTTTTACTTAGTTGCTACTCAAATTAAGTTACAAACTGTCAATACGGTCATGATAATTTCGAGGTTTCAGTCCTATTTCGAGAAGTTGTGAAGAAAAACTTTGTAATTCCTTTATGTTTTATATAAAATGTGTGACAATCTTATTGAGTGGGGAATAAAGTTATAATTAATTCAATAAAGTTGTTATTTGACAAAAGTTGCAACTTATTTACGTAATGATTAAAAAATAATTGAGACAAATATTAGGGGCGACTAATATATCAGTTATGCTTGCGTAAGCAATTACATTTGGACCAAATAAAGTTAATTTACGGGATACCAACGTTCTTATTCTCATACTTTATTCGTTTAAAGTTTATTTTAAAAAATCTGAGGCCTTATTGCAGAAAGGTGTAAAGTAGGAATCAAAAAGAAGAGGCTCATTCGAAGCATGTGATAAAAGAAGAATAATAGCGTAACATTATTTACAAGGGTTCCACGTCGGCACGTGTTAACCTTGATCGTGAAAAATTACGCAAATTACTACAAACATTCATTTTATTCGAGGACATTTCTTTTGCTAATCAAAAGAAGCCGTGAAGGTTTGGGAAAAAATTCCGACGGTACAGGACGTTGTTATAAACAACATAATTTCACAATAAACATCCTCAACATAACCTTCCTTTATGCTGTGTTTATTTCATTCGGAAAACAATGATAAAGACTAGCTTTTGCCCGCGGCTTCACCCGCGTGAAATTGATTAATCACAGATCATCATAAATTATAGCCTATATGTTATACTGGGCTATAAAAAATAATACTGTAAAGTTTTATCAAAATCCATTCTGTAGTTTTTGCGTATAATAACAAACATCCAGTTATCCATACAAACTTTCGCATTTATAATATGTATTAGTAGGATTAAGTATAGTAAGAAGATGATAATAAAATATACTCCAAGGTTTAAAACTAATACGTTAATCATTTATTTCATACAATGGCATGGACAGCTCGACGCAAGCCTCCCCAAGGAGAGCCATGCCGACCACTATCAAGACAGTGCCTCCACTTAGAGCCATGTTGTTTATAATAAATGGTGATTCATCAATTCTGTCACCTATTTAGCCGGTCCACTGTCACTTTACTGAGATACACATTTTTTTCTATTAATCATGATAAATGTGCTACAGTTATGTCTGAACAAGGTCAGTGTGCGACTACGTAAAAAATGACATTAATTGTATGACATATTGTGCAGCGCCCCTAGCGGCTACTTTCTTCATAGAGATTTTTGACGTACTCGCTAGCGAGCACACCTAACGTAAACTCATGGTAGGTACACAGTTCAACTAGAACGAAAATAGGTATTATGTCGATCATTTCTGAATAGTTAGCTGGCATCTAAATGCTTAATATTACACGTCACTTATGGATAAATTTTTTTAAATCTTATGAAATGATACTTGTAGATTGAATGTATGTTGAAAATATGTCAAATAAATTTTGATCTATTGCTATCTGCATATTTGATATTAGTTTAGTATCAAATAATTTAATATTTCTAACTTTAAGCGATAAATTTTCTATCGTTTCTGACACCTAATTTGAAACTGAATACATTATTTCATAAATATTTTCATCAAAGTACCTTCTAGACATATTATTAACTAGTACACATTGCAAATATTAAACTACGAGTAGCCGTCATATTTTCAAAATACTATGAGATCAAAAATGAATTTATATTACCATTTCTGCATTAGATTACTGCCAAACTTGCTTTTAATAAAAACACATACCAACCAACTTGAGAAACTCGTCCTTTTGTTGAAGTCGGTTAAAAAAGAATGAAATTATCTTTTGAAGTAAAGAAGTTGATTGGTTCACGTAATAATACGGAAATAATACCTATTTTCATAACAATAGGCAATATTATTACTAGCTGAAGCTAGCCGTTGAACTAAAAATAATTAGCAGTAACTACTAACTGGTGGCGTGATCAAATCAGAAATGAGGAGATCCGCAGGAGAACCAAAGTAACCGACATAGCTTGCAGAATTGCTAAAATCAAGTGGCAGTGGGCGGGGCACATAGCTCGTAGAGACGATGGCCGTTGGGGCAGGAAAGTTTCGAGTGGCGACCACGGGCTGCAAGACGTAGCGTGGGCAGGCCTCCTACTAGGTGGACCGACGATCTGGTAAAGGTTGCGGGCAGCGCAGGACCGTTCATCGTTGCCAAGGTTTTGTAAGCGACAGCGGTATAAATGTATATCATGAAAATGAGTCTTCATTCGCACGTTTTAGGCTAGGTGGCACCATCTTACTTTTACTTTGACAAACTTCAAAAAGCTGTCAAACTCCATACAAAAAACACCGGTTATCGTCATTGTTACCTTTAAAGTTAGGTGGTGCAACTCAGCCTAAGAGAGCTTAAAATAGTCCTCATTAAATTCGATCCCTGTGTATTTACGTGCTCATCTAACTTGGTTACACGTATTGATATTGGTTTAGTCTGTTAAATCCTACGTGACAATATCTAAGTTTAACGTTATTTAATATCTAGTCGTTAGTGAGTGCTTTATTATTGAAAAACAGTTTTTTTTGTTAACTTTAGCTCGAACTTGAAGTTTCATGTTCATAAACTCTGTATAAGATGCCCCCTTGCCACTACCGCAAGACAAACTACCAGACTGAACATTTCTGTCTGACTTATAACTTAGTAACGTTGACGAGGAGCCAAGTTCCAACTTTGGTAATAACATGGTATCCCCTCAACTAAGTAAACATAATGTACGGTAGATTAATGACGCTCTAGTTGGGCATGCTTTCATTGACTACTGAGCAGTAATTATTTACAGTTCAATGAACTAATTGTCAAAGTTTAATTAGACCAAGGTCTTATCAGGCGACACACTGTCGTATAACTTCACGTTTAAAGTCAGATTTTGCAAATAACTCAAAGCTCTACATATTAAGTTTTCGCTAAAGCATTTACGTAAGCGTGTCTGCCATATGATTTTTAAAATGTAATATGCATCAGTAGAATGAGTTCAAACTTGCTAAAACTATTTATTTCTAAAATTCTATTAAAAATAAGTGTTCTTATTAAATGAAAAACTTATGAGAAAAGTGTACTTACATTATAGTGAAGTAGTATTTTAATGATGAGGGTGAATGGACTTTACCTGTCTAGCTCGTTATTTCATATCTAAGATTATTTACACAAACAAAGCCTCACTAAGGGAACGTACTTTAAAGGGACGTACGGCACATTGAAAGGGCCAATAACCTAATAAAGAAATTGAATTTCAAAGGCGTGCAAACTGAACCCTACACAAACTTGTTACCGATCTAAATATAATATTTTGATTTCGTGTGAATTTATGACTAGGTGGACCGACGATTTGGTGAAGGTCGCAGGAGGTGCCTGGATGCGGGCGGCTGGTCAGACTGCAGGACTGGTCTTTGGGGAAGACCTTTGTAAAACAGTGGACGTTATTCGGCTGAAACGAGCAAACGAATTAATGACTAAAGGAAAGTTTTTTACTACCGTTCGTGAATTTAAAGGACAATTTGGATGCAAACTCTTCCTTCTTCAGCTTTCTCTTGCGAGATTCCTTCTTGGTGATGATCACGCAGTAGGCGAGGTCGATGATGAAACACAGCAGCTCTATGATGCTGATGATGGACCCGCCCACGCAGAGGCCGAATATCCCTCCGAGGTTTGCTGGAAAATACAAAACGATAATGTTCATAAAACCAAACATAATTATATCTTACTAGCTGACCCGGCGAACTCTGTTCCGCCTTAAAGGCAATAAATAAACCATCGCAATTTTTCCTTATTTGCTCACCGTTTAGACCTACCCTGGACTACGACAAACATTTTAAAACCAAAATCCGCTTAATCGGCCCAACCGTTCTCGAGTTTTAATCAGACTAACGAACATCAATTCATTTTTATTTATATAGATAGATATCACTCATAGGCTTGTGTAAGACTTATTATTTTATTCTACTTGTATCATAATATTATAAGCTGTATGTTTTCCTAATAAAGAAAATAAATAAATATCTGTCGCCGGGTTTCAATGTTCAATTACAGTTGACGCAAACTTTTTGGTAGATGTAAGCATAGCTACTCTATTGGTAAAGAAGATACAGAATTTGATTAGACTTTACAGTATATTACATCTGAATAATATAGGATTTACAACGATCTGCGACAAGCTAAATTTCACGCAGGCGAAGCCGTGAGTAAAAGCTACTAATTTATATTATTACTTATACCTTCGTATTTACACTAGAAATAGAAATAGAAAAACCTTTATTTGACATGAAAACAAACATGAAAAAATGAACAAATAAAAGAAGAGAAAAATAAAAATACAAAAACATAACTGACACTAGGTACAGTGAAAATACCTAGCATTTGGTCCCACGAGTAAAGCACCTCCCGCCGATACTTCATGCAAGAGTTATCGGCGAAATGTACCAGAAACCAGCTGTAGTGGCTTGACGACCTGAAAGAAGGCTTACGAGTACTCTGACTTGACTTCAACTTATTATAATAGCCGCCCAATTCTGTGGAAACGGTATTCAAACGTGAAATGATGGATGGTAGTCTAAATATTATGAAATGTTACAATGAAACGTTGAAAGCATTGATTTTGGTAACGGACCTTAAAAGAGTACGATTTATTTCCACTGATATCATTATACTTGCACAATATTGTACGAATTATAGGTCTATTACTTTATGATTTACGTGAAAAGTGGAAAATGTATCGCCATACAGAATTTAATTCTCATTAGCGACACTGTTGATTTAATGAGTTATTTGAGATTTAAAGTAAAAAGCATTTATTATTTCACCAGTGTGCTTACCATGAGTTTACGTTAGGTGTGCTCGTTAGCGACTGCGTAAAAATAAGACATTAAATGTATGACATATTGTGTAGCGCCCCTAGCGGCTACTTTCGAGATGTAAAATCATCATAGATTTTATTGACGTACCTATTCGCTAGCGAGCACACCTAACGTAAACTCACGGTAAGCACACAGTATAGTTTAATGTTTCTCATTGCTTATTACGTCTTCTTTAAAATTATGTTTCTTAAGTGCTTTTAATATCAAAATAACTTTTAATATTTTTATGTGTATTTGTTAAAGATAAGTGAGATGTAAGCTGGGAAAAAATACCATCGATATTCGAATGTGTTATTTTTTAGATAAAAAAAATAGATGTCCATTCCAATATTTTCTGAGCGGAACGCCCAGTGTGCCTACCATGAGTTCACGTTAGGTGTGCTCGCCAGCGACTGCGTAAAAAAATGACATTTAAATTAAGATTCCCGGCCGGGCAGAAATTGAAATGATGAATTTTAATTTCTGTGACGGGTCTGGGTGTAAATATGTATAATATGTATGTTTTTAATAATAAAAAGTATATAAGTAGTATATCCGTTAAGCTAGCACCCATAACACAAGCATTGAGTTGCTTACTTTGGGGCTAACTGGCGCTGTGTGAAATTGTCCAACGATTTATTTATTATTATTATATTTATTTAAATGTATGACATATTGTGCAGCGCCCCTAGCGGCTACTTTCAAGAAATAAAATCTTCATATAAATTTTTGACGTATTCGCTAGCGAGCTCACCTAACGTAAACTCATGGTAGGCACACAGTTCTCAGAAGGGTCATCAGTACGAATTTATACTGTAGCTGCTCAATTTTCAGTAACAATGTTATCCCAACCATAAATAATTTAAATACACTTACGCGCTTTCCTTCTCCCGTCTGACGTATTTCACGTTCGTTTCGTACTCGACGTAGTCGCACTTTTGGTAGCATCCACTTTCAGCTGTAAGGTCTTTGAGCGTGGATATCATTGTTACTGAAAAATTAATAAAAGAACACCAATTTATTATCTATAACTAGTATTAGCATAAAAAGTTATTCAACTCTTTTAATTGGCATTGCTAGTCTGTAGGTGTGACAAATTCGTATTATATTGCCTGACCGATTCTAAAAAAACACACTTAGGTATAGCGCTACACTACCTCTGGAAAATATTATTATTCTGCTAAGCGCTAATGCCTAAATTATCTTCTATATATATAAAAGAAAGTCGTGTTAGTTACACCACTTATAACTCAAGAACGGCTCAACCGATTTAGCTGAAAATTGTCAGGGAGGTAGTTTAGAGCCAGGAGAAGGACATAGGATACTTTTTATCCCGTTCGAAATAAAAAAAAAGTCTGCTTATTTATTGCCATTAAAGCGGAACAAAGTTCGCCGGGTCAGCTAGCGCGCTAGTATTGTATACAGGGTGTTAGGTAAATGGGTATATGAGCCGACACTAGCCCATGTTAACATGGTCATATAAATGGTATGGTGAAGTCAGAAATTTAATATCATCATTTTAATTTTTTAAATTTTCATACAAAATAAATTTTATAAAATCGGATTTCTTTGAAAATTAAAATAATTAAAATGAAGATATCAATTTTCTGACTTCACCATACCATTTATATGACCATGTTAACATGGGCTAGTGTCGGCTCATATACCCATTTACCTAACACCCTGTATACAATACTAGCGCGCTAGCTGACCCGGCGAACTTTGTTCCGCTTTAATNCCGGGTCAGCTAGTATGTATATAAAATCTGTACCTCTAGTAGGAAAAACTTTCGAGTTCGTTTCGTTGCGTATTCAAAGTGTCATCGAAAAATTTTGTATGAAAAATTAAACAGCGCCCCCTATATTATAGCCGCCCTAGGGGGCGCTGTTTAATTTTTCATACAAAATTTTTCGATGACACTTTGAATACGCAACGAAACGAACTCGAAAGTTTTTCCTACTAGAGGTACTGAACTAAGTGAATCTGAACGAGTATACGTCAGTTATTCAACATTAAAAAATTAATACTCTAGATAGGTAGTAGGATTCTTATTAGCTAGATAAAATTGAAGTTTTATTATTTAAGAACAAGTTTAGTAAATTATTTCTCAGAATTTCTGAAATGGAAAAATAAAGGACTTAACCTTTACCTAACTAAGGTAAGCTACTTATTTACATCACTTACTTATTTCGGCTTATTTCCAGAGATAATGAAATGAAATGTACCTACAATTATTACCAGCTCTTAATTTGTAAAAAGAAACTAGAGAAAATAGAACCAAATAATATCTGATGGCCAATGTAAAATTATTTTCAGAATAAGCGCCACTTTCAGTTTTTCAGACTAGCTGTCATGTAAAAAGAAAATACATTTTCTTACCTAAAGTACTATGAACGCAAAAAAGTCTGTCCCAAGTACATTTAGTTGTAATCGCCACTTGTAACTCTTCAGCTGGAATGGAAAGAAAGAAATTTGCATTTTAGCTTGGAGTGAAGTTGTAATGGAAGTAAATATTGGATTATTTAACATTTTCAACAGAAACTGCACTTTTGCTAAATGAGAGTCTTTAAAAATATAATACTTACAAGTGTAGTTGAAAGGTACACATCGACAACTGTCAACAACTTTCTGAAATATCGCCACAGTCAGGCATCCTTGATAGAAATCAAAAATATTATTTTCCTGAAAAATAACAATACAATTTGTTAAAAAAGCACACACATTTTGCCATGAAAGTACTAAATAAACACAAAATACTTATTTCAAGCCTACGTCGCAGTTGTAATTAGATAGTAAATTATGTATGACAGGTCAGCCTCAACAGGTTTGCCTACAAGCCCATTTTAAAATTCACTCATGTTAATATAAAATATTAGATTAGATGAATCTCGTATTGATCTAGTTCATAACTCTTCCACCTTTGGAATACGAATAAAAAAGTAACTAACATGAATTTCATCATGGCAATTCATTTGATAATAATGCAGGATTTAAAATGGTTATAAATTATGACTTGGTAAAATCTAAACTTTTTTGCACCAGGGCAGGGTCATCAAATTAGAAACCTAGTTTGCTGTAAGTAAAAAAACATCAACTTAAGAACGACTCAGAAATAATTAATTTCCACTCGAGTCTGTGCGAGTAACACCTGCAACTCTGTAATTTCCGAGCAAATGGACCGCGAATATTCGGTTTAGCTCGGACGGGGCGGCAGATGTTACGCGAATATCGCTCTGTCCAATGCCTACACTGTATTTGATTTGCACGGATTAGTATAAAGTGACATTGTGTGTATTGACACTTGATAGCGCAGTGGTGCGGTAAATCACGTTAAACCCAATCGGTCCGTCGAGATCCGTTTGATTCAAACGCGGAAGTGTCGCTTTAAAATTGGCTGAGAGATTCTGGGAAACACTTTGTGTACCCTCCTCTAAGTAACACAAGGCTCCTTTGTTTGAGGCCGTGACATTGTCGTGGTATTAACCTATCAAGTACAAGCCAATCCAGGCATAATAGAAAACGAGGCTGGCTGTCTCATGCGACGGGTTGGGCTTATGGATTAATTAATTTCCAGAACTGAACATTTCAGACCTAGGTATTTATCTGTTTTAAAAAAAATTAAGAGTATATTCGTTAAATTAAATGTATAATTAAATTTATTACTTGAGAATTCCTGGATTGATTAAGGTTAAGGTTTATTCATCAAAATTGGTTTTTTATAGTGATTTCTTTTTTTCATTTGACATTTTCCATGGCATTTTTATGTGACAATACTTTTAGATCACCCTTAACCGTTCATGGAATGCATAATGCCCGCAAAATATTTTCAATTGGCTAATAAAATGCTTCGGGAAACGATTACGCTTTTTCTTCGGCCTGAAAATGGCTTCACTCGCTAAATCCCGACTTTTTGTGGCGCAACACAACTCAACTGACAGCTGGAATGGCTACACTACACTAGTAGAGTCGATAAGCTATAAAAATATACATAAAATCTAGTAAACAGTTAACTTTTGTAGTAAGTATTCACTTGTACATGAGTAAAATGAAAACTAAAATATGAAACTATGAATAAATAAACAAACTATGAAGTTTTGCACATTATTGTGACTCGATCAAAGTGGCGTTAGACAGACGTTTAACAGATACGAGTATGAATGATGACTAAGAGACTGTTGAAAAAAATCTAACATCATCCATATTAACTTGCATTGTTTACCTACGTTTAGAACTAACCCTTGAGGAACCGGTGAGGAAGACGATGGGCGGAAGTTTGCATCGTGCGGTCCACACAGCTTATGACCGCAGTCTGTGGAGGAACACTATGTGTGGTCGCGATCCTCATCAGTGAGGGACCGAGGAAGAAAAAGAAGAACTGATGATTCTGATTATGATTCTGAACTAACCCTAAATACTGTAGAATATTTTGTAGTTGTTGTATATCAAATTTTAAATAATACCGTTAATTTTAAGTTATACCTTGGATGCAGTATAACACCGTCCTTACGATTGGCTCGCCCGCTGTTTTCAATTTATACTGCAGCATTTCCATCCCAGCGGAGCTTCAAAACGGCACATGTTTTGCGGTCCGCAGTCACTTGTTTAGAGTGGAACCGGAGTGAGATAAAAACTTGTGGACTTTTTTGTATGTAGCTGTTGAAATTATCTTTTTAAATCATAAATATGATTTTGTTGAACGTTTTTCAAATTATTTAAGAACATTAAACTATTATTTAAACTCTAGAGCTACTGAAGAAGATAGGTATGAAAAGAAGTGTACATTAAATCATCATTAATTTCAGTCTATGACATACTTCGGCAGTAAATCTCACCCAAGGAACGCTACCTAAGTACCTACCTACGTTCTCAGACTTTTTATCCATCTATTTACTGCTATATTTTTTACATCATCGGCTCTATACTGCCTAAAAAGACGTTAAAATTTTGCGCGCAGTCGCAACAGCCCTAGGTGCCTACTTTTGCAGGAATACCTGACCTTAAAATATAATTTCCTATTTTATAGACCAAGTTTTGGCGAACGCATTGTAGGATGCCTCAAAGCATAACAGATAGATAGAGATATTTAATAGTCTGTCGCCAAAACAACGATGTTAACAGCATTGTTGTGTTCCGGCAGTTAGAGGTAAGATAAACGGGACTATTCCCACCTCTCGTTCCCACCACTGCAACTCCTGTGTAGCCAGGATCTACAGCTTGACCGCCACAAAAACCCAACCAATGAAGGTCAAGTTTGTCCCGGGGGAAAGTTAAACTGTCATTGGACCCGCAACGAAATTAATCAGAAGAACATAGGAGGAGTTCGAAATTAAGGTTCGACTTCCCTCCATTGCAAAGCGGATGACAGGTGACAAACAAAGGTTTAAAACCTTTAAGAAAAAGATTATGCACCAACTCTTAGAGACACTATTTCTAGTCTTTATTCCAGTGACTTTATTATGTTCCCATTGTCGTCGATCTAGTTAGAGGTAAGATAGCCAGTTCCTCCGTGGTTGAGGATTCCGGGGGAAGCTCGCTTCCACGTTCGGCCTGATCGTCACTTACCATCAGGTGAGATACAGGCCAAGAGCTTCCTCGTTGTGGATAAAAAAAGATCACTACATTAACCAAATTAACTCACGTTGTTCAACAAGCACTTCCTGCTGCCAATAGGCAGATCCTTCACGTTGTCGGAGCTGTCGATCGCCCACACCTCCACGTTGACGTCGTAGAATGTGGACGCCGAGAGAGTGATGGAGCTGTCCAGAATGGTGATGCTATCCTTGTGGTCGAAGAGGTAGAGCTGGAACAGAAAATTAATCCTATTCATATTTGTAATCGTGTGTAACTAATATCAATCGGTTGTCAACTGTAGTAGCTGTAGCTGTAGTCATTTATTGTCCCGAAGCAGTGGTAGGGTTAATATTGGGACGTGTAAAAAGTGCTTTTTAAAAGCCTATTTGCAAAAATAAATGAGTTTTATGAATTTTTATGAGCTTATAACAAATAAATATTCAAGGAAACGTAATTAAGCTATATTACAATAACCATACATATCATGTGAATGTCAATGATAAGTACAATTTTATTTAACTAAAGCATCAAATAACAATATTTTTCCATGAAAAATGAAAAACAAAATGTAAAAATCTTATTTAAGATCCGTTCTCAGTTTGATTGGAACTTTTCAAGATTGATAGATTTGGTTCTACGATAGTAGAAAAAGAGAATGGTTTGTTTTGAAGTAAACTGTGATTCATCGTAATATTTTTTTATGATCGTCCGTTCCAATATAGATTGATGAACTTGCGCCGACCATTATCAGTGTTGAACCATCTAATTAGAAAGTGTCAAAGTAAAATTAATATTTTGCCTCAACTTTAGCACCGTTAGTCCTCCGGGGATACTTTTCAAAAACTTTTGTTCATTACTTTTTTTAGCTGGTTGCTTTAGTTATTTATGAAGCCTGGGTCTGGCTTGAATATTTTGTAATTAAGTCAACAATATCTATACTTATAATAAATCTGTAGAGAGGTCAATTCTGTACATGAAATATATTTTCAAAATTACTATCAGGGGGTGATTAGTGATCGATACTGATGCCAAAAATGCAATCAGTAAAATTTTTGTCTGTCTGTCTGTCTGTCTGTCTGTCTGTATGTTCCTTATAGAAACAAAAACTACTCGACGGATTTTAACGAAACTTGGTACAATTATGCTTCATACTCCTGGGCAGGTTATAGGATACTTAGGAATTCCCACGGGAACGGGCATTAGCGGGAAAATCCTTTTGTATGAAAAATCTAAACCACTTAAGTTAGACGCTTGAAATTTAGCAAGCAGGTACCTTAGTAAACTTAAAGCTTAGTTATAACAGGATATTGCAAAATTCCTACGGGAACGGGAATAAGCGAGAAAAAACATTTGTATGAAAAAATCTAAGCCACGTAACATAGACGCTTGAAATTTGACATGCAGATACCTTAGTAAATTTAAAGCTTAGTTACAACAGGATATTGCAAAATTCTCACGGGAACGGGAGTTAGCGGGAAAAAACATTTGTATGAAAATATCTAAACCGCGTAAGTTAGACGCTTGAAATTTGGCATGCAGGTACATTAGTAAACTTAAAGCTTAGTTACAACAGGATATTGCAAAATTCCCACGGGAACTGGAATTAGCGGGAAATTCCTTTTGTATGACTGACTCACTGACATACCCACGCACAGCCTAAACGGCTAAACGTAGGCATTTGACATTTATAAGGGACGTAGCTTAGGTACCGTAGAGGTGCACTAAGAAAAGAATTCCCGAAATTCCCACAGGAACAGGAATTACCGGGAAAATCCTTTTGTATGAAAAATCTAAACCGCTTAAGTTCTTAGACGCTTGAAATCTGACATGAAGGTCTCTTAGTAAACTTGAAGCTTAGTTACAACAGGATATTGCGAAATTCCAACGGGAACGGGAGTTAGCGGGAAAAAACATTTGTATGAAAAAATCTAAACCGCGTAAGATAGATGAAGGGGGTAAAATGGGATCCACGCGTACGAAGTCGCGGGCGGCCGCTAGTCTTAAGGCTTGGTATTTCGTCTAAAGTAGGTATTTCGCNACAATTTTACTGTTTAGTACCTCAAAAATGAAAAATGAAAACCTCATTTTCGCCATTTTCTCTGTTACCCGGCCTTAAGTGAAGCAGCAAATCGAACGCACAGCGTTGAATAGAGCTCTGTGATTGGTTCGTGTGTCACCCTGTGTGTCCACGCGCACTGTGAGACCTCATAGTAATGTTTGTAAATACGAGCGTTAGGCTAAGTTGCACCATCTTACTTTAACTTTGACAAACGTCAAAAACCTGTCAAACTCCATACAAAAAACACCGGTTGACAGATTTTTGACGTTTGTTAAAGTCAAAGTAAAATGGTGTAACTCAGTCGTGTCTGGGGGCCTTATAAGTAGTGATCTGTCTGTATAATACCCAGTGGGTGCAAATTATAATCGCAAACCAGTCGAAAAGTGGTCGAAAAGCCCCTTTTTTGTATGGAGTTTTGACGAATTCGATTTTCGATTCGATCAAAAAGTGCGTTTTGTCTAGAGGGGCTGGACTGATATCGATTTCTTTTTCAATTTCCAGTCGAAAAATCCCAAATCAGTTGATATTGGCGTGATAGTGGCGAATACAGTGATAAGTGGCAATAGGGGGAATATAAGCAGCAGGTGCGCCTAAGTAATGGATTCAGACAAGTCACTCGCGGGTATTGGGCGCCTGCTGAATAGTAATGAGCGTTTCCCTTTCCACACGCATTTAGGCTTAGGCTACACTTAGGTAAGGCTTTTTGAATAACCTAGCACGAGGCGGGGAGGTTGAGAGCGTTTTGCACTTTAATAAAGTACCTAGATGGAGTTCGAAAAGCTTGCAAGTCATTGAGATTGTGTAATTTCTTTTCTAGATCAACTTTATCAGGCTACAGTGTTTGTAGAGAATAAAAGTGATGTCAAAATAATTATATTTTTTTATCTGTCTTTATTTTGGGACTTTTGTCTAAAAACATGTCAGTCCCATCGACAATGAAGACGCAAAACAATGAAGGCAAATTATATTCTACTTGGGCAGTTGTTTAATACATATTAAGGAAATCTCGTTTCCCTAGTGTGCCCTCAGCACTTGGACAAACCCCTACAGCCATCAATCGGAATGGAGTATCGCTGACAGAGACTGCCGCCGTTATCTGTCACAGCTATTGACTCTTTCATTATGTATGAATATATTATGTTGTTATATAATATGTTATGTTTATTTTCCGACGAATGTTGTATCTATGTCGCAGTCGGATTGTATAATCCGCCGTTTTACATTACCACTAGACATTTTACATTACAGCTCTGTTTTGTAATACGGCGGCTTAACGTTTAGGCGGATTGAATACGGCTGAATGAAAATCCGCCGGAATGTATTCGGCGCCAAACGTTCTTCAATACGGCTAGCCGCAATGTAAATCAGCGTGTCATTACCCGCCGCTTTGACAGTTTTTAGTTCCCATTTTCAATACCGTGGCGCTGCCTGACATAACAACAACAATGGCGTCGGATGCAGAAAATGTGTTGCTAAATTACGGAGTTATTTCTGAATCTAACAAAGAAATCGTTATAAATATGTGTGTCGACAGTGAGTTTAAGAACAATTTTAACTTGCAATTGAATAATTTCTATTCATCACAATGTGGAACAGTCAGAAAACCGTGGACAAGGGACCGAGTTTTGGAGGTTATCAAAACCGCTAAAGTGGCTATGGATTCTGGTGTTCGGCGGAATCCTACTAAATATTATTTATTGGTGCAAAAAGACTGAAGCCGGATATTATCATTTCTTAAAATGTTTAGAAAAGTTTAATTGTTTTGAGATATCTTTTATTTCAAGATGTTTGTACCTTGTGATTACTCATTATGTTTAAAAATGACTAAAGCCAAATATATAATTTACTTACTTACAGTAATAATTGTTACTTAATTACTAAGGAATATCGTGAGAAGAAATTTGTCTTATTAAAATTAAAATTTATTTTCATTAAACATTGTTTTATTTTGTAAGTATTGTCACCCTACAATCTAAATAGTAGTACGATGCGGCTAAACGTGGGCCGCCGTATTGAAGAACGTATCGCAATGACAATCCGCCTAAACGTTGAACCGCCGTATTACAAAACAGAGCTGTAATGTAAAATGCCTAGTGGTAATGTAAAACGGCGGATTATACAATCCGACTGCGACATCTACACATAGATACTTGACTTGGTGTTCTAGTGGTAGGTGAATGAGATTCTCTTTGAGTTGTTGACACCAATCCAAGATAACATTCACTTTGTGTTTGGTTAGATTAGCTACCATCTATCTCACCATAGCTATCATCTCTACACTGCCATCAAATAGCAACGCCCAACAGGGTCCATAATGATCTATACCGTAATTGTATCATCAACCTATGTACATTATGGACGGAATTATAAGCTACACTAGCGGCCGCCCGCGACTTCGTACGCGTGGATCCCGTTTTACCCCCTTCATCTATCTTACGCGGTTTAGATTTTTTCATACAAATGTTTTTTCCCGCTAACTCCCGTTCCCGTTGGAATTTCGCAATATCCTGTTGTGACTAAGCTTTAAGTTTACTAAGGTACCTGCATGCCAAATTTCAAGCGTCTAAAAAAAAATGGTGGCCACGTTTGTCTCCAAAACCGGCCATGTTGCGACTATTCCTCTTGGGGGACAAAGAACGGTTAATGCAGATTAGTATGCTAGCATTTGTTTGCCACAGGTCGTTTCTGAACTCCGTAAAGAGAACTGCAACCGCCGCATCATCCTCCATCACGACAATGCGAGTTCTCACACCGCGCACTGAACAAAAGAGTTTTTAGAGCAAGAAAACATAGAATTATTAGTCCATCCGCCGTACAGCCCTGACCTAAGCCCTAATGATTTCTATACTTTCCCTAAAATAAAGAATAAATTGCGTGGTCAGAGATTTTCATCACCTGAAGAAGCTGTGGAAGCCTACAAAACGGCCATTTTGGAGACCCAAACTTCCGAATGCAATGGTTGCTTCAATGATTGGTTTCGTGTATGGAAAAATGTGTCAAATTTCGCGGAGAATACTTTAAAAAGCAATAAATACATTTTTAAATAGTAATGTTGTTTCACTTCCTGGATTCCCGAAATTTTCAGTGCCGCCGAGCATAGTCAACCCAATTCATGGATTTCTATGAAATAAATTATTACAACTTTTTTATGCATCCTTTGATTGAAATTTTGCTTCGTGCCTGTGATAAATTTTAGCAATTAAGTATTAATTATTTTTCCATCTCTTTGTAACTATTTTTATTTTAACGAAGTTTTCATGCTCAATTAGTCGTCGAACTCAAGTAGACAAGAGAAAAGGCATCAATTATTTTAAAGTACTCCTAAGTACGAAATAGGTACTAACTAAAATATTTCAATTTTGCTATCAGAATTTCGATATTAAATATACGTTATATTCTCATATCTTTTCTCCTAATTCTGCCATTTATAAACACCTAAAGGTATCATGAATTCAAAACATTTCAAAATTTCATTTGCACATAAAACAGAATCCTGAATCAGATAAATTTGATTACCTTGCACTCAAAATGAAAGGCGTAAAATATTTGTATGAAATTAGAAAGATAATACTGAAACTTGACTGAAAGTTAGTTAAACTTGGTACTATTGGGAGCTTTGTTGTTCAAGAAACATTTCGATAACAAATTTTATGAACAGGTATTAAATATCATCATCTTACTTAGAGTAAAGTATTCCACTTTATCTGGCTTTCGAATTTAATAATCAAATAAAATTCGAACAAAATAAAATAATCGATTTTCGTAACCCCATCTTTAGGGATAGATTCCCCATAAAAACTTTCGTCTTCAATTTACCTTTTCAATTTTTTTGCAACAAAAGGTACTTAATTAGGCCTAGGTTTGTGTAAGACTTATTTTTTGTATGCCACCTGTGTTATAAGTAATGTAAGCTGTGTTTTCCTAATAAAGAAAATAAAATTCTAAATTTTGTAACTTGACTCCACTGCAAGAATACGACCATCTCTAATGTACCTGAGGCAAATGGATTTGGTCTACACTCCCTAAAATGTCTATGACCATAGATTCACTAGTCTTTAATTTTAATCATCTCTCATCTTCCACAGGTGCACTCGACGAAGCCATGATGCAAGCCCTCGAACACGACAGGATAGACTTCGTCAAACTGCTCCTGGAGAATGGAGTCTCCATGCGAAAGTTCCTAACCATCCCTCGATTGGAGGAGCTGTACAACACCAAGAGTGGTCCCAGCAACACCCTGCGGTATATCCTGAGGGACGTCAGGCCTCATTTGCCCAGAGGATACGTGTACACGCTGCACGATATTGGATTGGTCATCAATAAGCTCATGGGAGGTGCTTACAGGTTAGTATTTCTATGTTCAATTCATTTTTCCCCCAGATTTAGCTACGTAGGTTTAGAGAAAACCAAGAGTGACTCGTGTAACATCCTGCGATATATCCTGAGGCCTCATCTACCCAGGGGATAGGTGTACACGCTGCACGATACGTGTACACGCTGCACGATACTTGTACACGCTGCACGATATCGAGCTCGTGTGCTTACAGCCTTTTTGTTGAACTAGCTTTTGCCCACGACTTTGCCCGAGCATATTTCGATGAAATGTGCCATGAAATAAAATGGAAATGAAGCCCCTTCAAGTCTTCTTTATTTGCTATAATTGGCTTTTTCCCGTTGTCCTTATGTAGGTATACATATAAATAAAACCTGTGTACTCAGGTCGATAGCAGGTGGTGATTGTGAACCTTTCACCGATAGCGTGAGGGCAAACATCGTAAATACATCAACGGCCCAACAGAAAATACGTGCAGTGGGTTCCATCATTGTGATAGTTTGTAGTTCTTGAGCTTTTTGATTGTTACAGTTTTTGCTATATAACTAGATTCAGAGGAATCAGAATCATCATTTATTTGCTTTAAATCAGTACAGAAGATTGTGCGCCTTCAGATTTTTTAATTCCCCGTAAATGATGGCATCGTGCCTGCCTGAAAAAAGTCCTTCTTTCTCTTATTAACTCATCATCCTTTCTCTACGTTGATGTCTATGATTCCTTACTCTATTTATGATATTGTGTATAACGTGTCTCAGTGCGAGGCGACAACTGTCAAAATGTTAAACAAAGGCTTTTATGACGCGTTTCTGAGCCTTCTGTACTATCTTATACTTTGTCAACGATGTCAACAGATAGTTACCCACTAATCATAGCTTACTGTGACCCATAAATAGCTAATGGACAGCTGGATTTAACCACGGTTTATTTTTCCTTTTAACAAAATTTGCTTTGGTCCTATTGTTAGACATCAATTTATATTATTCCGTTTGTTTGATGTTGCCGACGCATTTTAGATTAGATATCACTGTAACAAAAAAGTAGGATATAAATTTCATTCCTATTGTTTCATTCCAATACTAACGACAACCAGTAATGAGTATAATGAATACAAGAAACATCAACGTCTTTCCTCTTCTTCTTATGTATTTGAAATTTTTCATATAACATTGGTACAAAGTATTTTTTTTCCTTCTTCTGCAATTTTTTTCATTTTGGGATACAGTTCAGTTCATTATTTCTCAAAAGATAAATAATGGGAACAAAATGTATTCATAGAGATTTAAAATAACCCTACGGCATTGCTACTTCGGAAAGTTGCAAAAGCTTCCAAGAAATAAAAGAATTTCAACATTAAGAGAAGCCTTGACAATAATTCATTCAGGCAGTCCATTTCAAAGAATTGCATTGCTTCGGGCCGCAAAATACTAAATATTTTTGTTCTGTAAATAAGACGGGACTATGCTTATAAAATATTGTAGAGGTTGTAAGATTTTCTTCTTTGATTTCGTTCCCTTGTTCTATCGGGGTATTGTATTGTATTGTATTGTATTGTATTGTATTGTATTGTATTGTATTGTATTGTATTGTATTGTATTGTATTGTATTGTATTGTATTGTATTGTATTGTATTGTATTGTATTGTATTGTATGTCCACATCTTAAATTACTTTTTCGTTTTATGTTTGTTTTCACTCCATTTTTGGTTCCCTTATTCTGTTTGTTGTGTGTCTATATCTATAATCTATATCGTTCGTTTGTTTTTCATTTCATATTTATTTTCACTGTATTTTCTTCCGTTTATTGAACTCTTATCATGTGAAATAGAACAAACAAGCTTTTGTAGCAAATATTATTCGAACATCGTACCAATCGTACGACTTATATTTGTTGTTTATTGTCCAAAACAACAGTTGTGAGACGTTTATAGTCGATTTCCAAATATTGTTGTAGCCAAATTGATAAGTTCTTTCAGTTTATTGGATGTATCTTTTTGCCTTATAACTGTTGCCGATTCCCATAAGTCTTTCAATAATATTTTCAACTCTGTTATTGGCAGTTTTCTCAGATCAAGGTTCAAAGATACTGTATCGCGTAGATAATTTAAGGGCTTTTTATCGCTTTTACTGCGCTACATTTTCTTTAATTTATGGGGGCATAAAAAAGACATTATGATTACTTGTCATCACAATTTTGAGAATAATTCTGTTGAACATCTGCCTTTAGAAAAAAGGTCATTAACACTTGTGTGTTTTAAAGGTAACAAAATAATGAAATTAAACACAAAAGCCCGTTGTCACGCTAAATCTATATTAGTGTCGCTGTCACTCCGTAAACTTTCGTCGTTACTTCGGCTTGTGCTTCGGCTGCCACATTATTAGGCTAGCTGGTTTTAGCGTATGTAGGTACAGAAGACAGCAGCATATTTGACTTTAATTTATCTAACTACAAACAAAAACCTAAACGGGAGTGAAATAAAAGAAATAAAGGCTTTGATGGCGCCTCAATTAAAAAGTTCCGTATCACAATATCACAATGAATCGGCACTATCGGTCTATTTATCTAAATGAACCTAGCCATAAAACAAATACTTCCAAAGTTATGGAACTATCCAACGTTTGTTACGCTAAATCCGCATTACGTGTCGCTGTCACTCTCGCTAACTTTGTCACGTCTGGATATCACGTCAATTAGCGTGGCTTGTAAAGGTGGAGCATTTGCCTGTAATATAAAGTTAGGTAGAGACTCGAGCTTTCCCTCTGAAAGTAACTATAAAAAGGTAAAGCAGGAATGGCGAGAAAAGTAATAATTGTAATAATAATCACAGTTAATTTTCTAGCCTTGGTAAAAATGTTCAAATAAGCTTTACTTACCTTTTTCGGTTCCTTGAACTAATATCCTACCTCTCTGTAGGTACCTACAAAATTATTTACCCAAGTTCCTCTACTCTACATTGATGATAAAAAAACAGTGGCATATGAGGCAGTAGAAGCCGAAAGTAAAAGTCGAGATAAGCATAGCGTCAAATAATGATTCCTTAAATCTGTGATAATGTTTGATCTTCAATATAAAAGACCGGCCAAATGCAAGTCTGGTTCGTCTACAAAGTGTTCCGTACCGTACGTATTCGTTTCTTTTAACTGCTGGACAAAGGCTTTCCTTAAGGTTTTTCCACAAAGACCGGTCCTGCGCCGCCCGCATCCAGGCACCTCCCGTCCCGTATTACTGTACAATATTTAAAATTAAGTTAGGTACACTACATAATAATATAATTTATTTTAAAACGCGTAAACTACATAATAATATAATTTATTTTAAAATTTATACAGTTTTAATGAAACCATTTTCAGTTCTCTTATTTTTGTTTACTTACTGTTCCAAAAACTCAGCTGGTAATAGGCAACCCTTTTAGAAAGGAACAAAAAATACCTAAGTTAAGCGAAAAACCTCTATTATCAGCAATAACATAATTCTGCTCCACTGAACATTTACGCTAGGTTGATTATTCCGGTGAAACACTTAGCTCTCCAGCTAGACTGAATTCAGTTTGTTACAAAAAGATTTTATCGCTCTCAAGAATAATGAGAATCTAGGATGAAAGCACCTTAGAGTTAAGTACCTTTACAACTACTAAAGAAGTATCTGACGCTCGTATTCACAAACTTTACTATGAGGTCTCACTGTGCGCGTGGACGGACAGGGTCACACACGAACCAATCACAGAGAACTATTCAACGCTGTGCGTTCGATTTGCTACTTCACTTATCCATGAAATGTAAACTACTAAAGACAGTATCTTAATTTCACCGTTGATGGCATGAAGACAAGATTAAATTACGTGAAACGTAAAACCAAGTTGTCACTTTTAATACAGACTAGCGGCCGCCCGCGACTTCGTACGCGTGGATCTCGTTTTACCCCCCTTTCATCTATCTTACGCGGTTCAGATTTTTTCATACAAATGTTTTTTCCCGCTAACTCCCGTTTCCGTGGGAATTTTGCAATATCCTGTTGTAACTAAGCTTTAAGTTTACTAAGGTACCTGCATGCCAAAAGTCAAGCGTCTAACTTAAGCGGTTTAGATTTTTCATACAAATGTTTTTTCCCGCTAACTCCCGTTCCCGTGGGAATTTTGCAATATCCTGTTGTAACTAAGCTTTAAGTTTATTGAGGTACCTGCATGCCAAATTTCAAGCGTCTAACTTAAGCGGTTTAGATTTTTCATACAAAAGGATTTTCCCGCTGATTCCCGTTCCCGTGGGAATTCCTAAGTATCCTATAACCTGCCCAGGAGTATGAAGAATAATTGTACCAAGTTTCGTTAAAATCCGTCGAGTAGTTTTTGTTTCTATAAGGAACATACAGACAGACAGACAGACAGACAGACAGACAGACAGACAGACAGACAAAAATTTTACTGATTGCATTTTTGGCATCAGTATCGATCACTAATCACCCCCTGATAGTTATTTTGAAAATATATTTCATGTACAGAATTGACCTCTCTACAGATTTATTATAAGTATAGATAAATGGAAAATATCTTACAACCCAGGAACAGGAATTTTGTTCATAAATTACTGAATTATCTAAAACCCTTTCATCTTCGCTGTCACTAGTCCTTTATCTACAATTAATTTATCAGACAGTAATAATGTTCGTTTTTCCTTAGGTGCTACTACACAAGGCGCAAGTTCCGTCCTATCTACGCGAAGGTGATGAACAAGAGCGTGAACGTTCACCGCAACAGCGCGTCGTTCACCCGCCACAACGCCGGCGGGTTGTCACTCATCACCGGGTTCATGCCCGTTACTACCGAGATGGCGCTGTTTGACTACCCTTTCAATGAGCTGTTGGTGAGTACCTGACATCATAATGTTCGATATCTAGAAGTAATTATACAAGAGCGTCAACGTTCACCGCAACAGCGCGTCGTTCACCCGCCACAACGCCGGCGGGTTGTCACTCATCACCGGGTTCATGCCCGTTACTACCGAGATGGCGCTGTTTGACTACCCTTTCAATGAGCTGTTGGTGAGTACCTGACATCATAATGTTCGATATCTAGAAGTAATTATACAAGAGCGTCAACGTTCACCGCAACAGCGCGTCGTTCACCCGCCACAACGCCGGCGGGTTGTCACTCATCACCGGGTTCATGCCCGTTACTACCGAGATGGCGCTGTTTGACTACCCTTTCAATGAGCTGTTGGTGAGTACCTGACATCATAATGTTCGATATCTAGAAGTAATTATACAAGAGCGTCAACGTTCACCGCAACAGCGCGTCGTTCACCCGCCACAACGCCGGCGGGTTGTCACTCATCACCGGGTTCATGCCCGTTACTACCGAGATGGCGCTGTTTGACTACCCTTTCAATGAGCTGTTGGTGAGTACCTGACATCATAATGTTCGATATCTAGAAGTAATTATACAAGAGCGTCAACGTTCACCGCAACAGCGCGTCGTTCACCCGCCACAACGCCGGCGGGTTGTCACTCATCACCGGGTTCATGCCCGTTACTACCGAGATGGCGCTGTTTGACTACCCTTTCAACGAGCTTCTAGTAAGTAACATGTCATCAAGAAGTTACAATATTTAGAACTATTCAAACATTAGGGGAGTTCACCGCAACAGCGCGTCATTCACCCGCCACAACGCCGGCGGGCTGTCGCTCATCACCGGCTTCATGCCCGTCACCACCAAGATGGCGCTGTTTGACTACCCTTTCAATGAGCTGTTGGTGAGTACCTGACATCATAATGTTCGATATCTAGAAGTAATTATACAAGAGCGTCAACGTTCACCGCAACAGCGCGTCGTTCACCCGCCACAACGCCGGCGGGTTGTCACTCATCACCGGGTTCATGCCCGTTACTACCGAGATGGCGCTGTTTGACTACCCTTTTAACGAGCTTCTAGTAAGTAACATGTCATCAAGAAGTTACAATATTTAGAACTATTCAAACATTAGGGGAGTTCACCGCAACAGCGCGTCATTCACCCGCCACAACGCCGGCGGGCTGTCGCTCATCACTGGCTTCATGCCCGTCACCACCAAGATGGCGCTGTTTGACTACCCTTTCAATGAGCTGTTGGTGAGTACCTGACATCATAATGTTCGATATCTAGAAGTAATTATACAAGAGCGTCAACGTTCACCGCAACAGCGCGTCGTTCACCCGCCACAACGCCGGCGGGTTGTCACTCATCACCGGGTTCATGCCCGTTACTACCGAGATGGCGCTGTTTGACTACCCTTTCAATGAGCTGTTGGTGAGTACCTGACATCATAATGTTCGATATCTAGAAGTAATTATACAAGAGCGTCAACGTTCACCGCAACAGCGCGTCGTTCACCCGCCACAACGCCGGCGGGCTGTCGCTCATCACCGGCTTCATGCCCGTCACCACAAAGATGGCCCTGTTTGACTACCCGTTCAATGAGCTGTTGGTGAGTACCTGGCATCATAATGTTCGATACCTAGAAGTAATCATACAAGAGCGTCAACGTTCACCGCAACAGCGCGTCATTCACCCGCCACAACGCCGGCGGGTTGTCACTCATCACCGGGTTCATGCCCGTTACTACCGAGATGGCGCTGTTTGACTACCCTTTTAACGAGCTTCTAGTAAGTAACATGTCATCAAGAAGTTACAATATTTAGAACTATTCAAACATTAGGGGAGTTCACCGCAACAGCGCGTCATTCACCCGCCACAACGCCGGCGGGCTGTCGCTCATCACTGGCTTCATGCCCGTCACCACCAAGATGGCGCTGTTTGACTACCCTTTCAATGAGCTGTTGGTGAGTACCTGACATCATAATGTTCGATATCTAGAAGTAATTATACAAGAGCGTCAACGTTCACCGCAACAGCGCGTCGTTCACCCGCCACAACGCCGGCGGGTTGTCACTCATCACCGGGTTCATGCCCGTTACTACCGAGATGGCGCTGTTTGACTACCCTTTCAATGAGCTGTTGGTGAGTACCTGACATCATAATGTTCGATATCTAGAAGTAATTATACAAGAGCGTCAACGTTCACCGCAACAGCGCGTCGTTCACCCGCCACAACGCCGGCGGGTTGTCACTCATCACCGGGTTCATGCCCGTTACTACCGAGATGGCGCTGTTTGACTACCCTTTCAATGAGCTGTTGGTGAGTACCTGACATCATAATGTTCGATATCTAGAAGTAATTATACAAGAGCGTCAACGTTCACCGCAACAGCGCGTCGTTCACCCGCCACAACGCCGGCGGGTTGTCACTCATCACCGGGTTCATGCCCGTTACTACCGAGATGGCGCTGTTTGACTACCCTTTCAATGAGCTGTTGGTGAGTACCTGACATCATAATGTTCGATATCTAGAAGTAATTATACAAGAGCGTCAACGTTCACCGCAACAGCGCGTCGTTCACCCGCCACAACGCCGGCGGGTTGTCACTCATCACCGGGTTCATGCCCGTTACTACCGAGATGGCGCTGTTTGACTACCCTTTTAACGAGCTTCTAGTAAGTAACATGTCATCAAGAAGTTACAATATCTAGAACTATTCAAACATTAGGGGAGTTCACCGCAACAGCGCGTCATTCACCCGCCACAACGCCGGCGGGCTGTCGCTCATCACTGGCTTCATGCCCGTCACCACCAAGATGGCGCTGTTTGACTACCCTTTCAATGAGCTGTTGGTGAGTACCTGACATCATAATGTTCGATATCTAGAAGTAATTATACAAGAGCGTCAACGTTCACCGCAACAGCGCGTCGTTCATCCGCCACAACGCCGGCGGGTTGTCACTCATCACCGGGTTCATGCCGGTTACCACTGAGATGGCGCTGTTTGACTACCCTTTCAACGAGCTTCTAGTAAGTACCTACCTACTGACCCTACTGTGATATAAAGAGAAGGACAATATCTAGTCAAACATTACGTGAGTTCCCCGCAACAGCGCGTCGTTCACCCGCCACAACGCCGGCGGGCTGTCGCTCATCACCGGCTTCATGCCCGTCACCATCGAGATGGCGCTGTTTGACTACCCGTTCAACGAGCTACTAGTAAGTACCATGTCATCAAGAAGTTACGATATCTAGAACTATTCAAACATTACGGGAGTTCACTGCAACAGCGCGTCGTTCACTCGCCACAACGCCGGCGGGTTGTCGCTCATCACCGGCTTCATGCCGGTTACCACTGAGATGGCGCTGTTTGACTACCCTTTCAATGAGCTGTTGGTGAGTACCTGACATAATGTTACGATATCTAGAAGTAATCATACAAGAGCGTGAACGTTCACCGCAACAGCGCGTCGTTCACCCGCCACAACGCCGGCGGGCTGTCGCTCATCACCGGCTTTATGCCTGTCACCACCGAGATGGCGCTGTTTGACTACCCTTTCAACGAGCTTCTAGTAAGTACCATGTCATCAAGAAGTTACAATATCTAGAACTATTCAAACATTAGAGGAGTTCACCGCAACAGCGCGTCGTTCACCCGCCACAACGCCGGCGGGCTGTCGCTCATCACCGGCTTCATGCCCGTCACCACCGAGATGGCGCTGTTTGACTACCCTTTCAACGAGCTTTTGGTGGAGTTCGGCTATTCATACGTTTCAGCCAAATGACGTCCACTGCTGGGCAAAGTCTCCCACAAGGTTCTGTTTTTTTAAAGGATTTTTTACCATTTTCTCCTTGAGTTTTCGTTCTAAAGTAAATAAGGTTAGGTAACAACAAGTACCACTTACCTAAAAGCGTCACGTAGCTAATCTACATCGTTCATTCTTTACCTGGATTTATGTTGAACTGGTTATTTGTATCTTTTTTCTCTTCCATAGTAGGTGCCTACTTATATCAAAATACATTATACATGGTGATCATTCAATAAGTCTCGCTATTCTGTAAACACAATTTAGTACCATATTAAGGAGAAAAAACAAATTGTGCAATCACATTCTTGTATAAATTGTTATAAACAAGAATTTTGTCAAGTTTTAATTTCTATCTCCATATACCTACTATAACGAGTATGATCGATATCTCATTTTCAGACAAGGCAAAACTTGATTGAGTTACGCAAATAGTACCTAAATCACATTTACATAACAGATTTTGCGTAATGTATTCTCACATAATATACTCAAACTTCGGCTAGGGATAGAATTCGGAACTTCTAAAACTAGTTCTGGACTTCTAGGCAGAACGAATATTATTAAAGTTAGTGGTAGTTACCTACGCAGCTACGTGCCCACTCGAACGGAGGACCGTTGACCTAATTTTGACAAGTTAGCGAGTTGGACATAGATTCTCAATCTGACTAATGACTAAGCTAAAAATATACATGTCCGGTGTTTTGTTTTAATTTGACTTCCCTTGTAATTAAACTATACCTTCGAACTTCTTACCGCTAATAAAAAGTTGCCCTAACCCAATTTTATAAATCGCAACATTAATTTCTGAACGTATCCTGTTTGACAGCAGTGGTGACAGATTATGTTGCGGCCGCGCACATTCGTACCTACTCCTTAGCCGCGCGCCACTGGCCACGAAGAAAATTTGTAATATTTTTTCTCGACGACCAATATCGCTATTCTTTTGTTTTTTCCGTCGCTGACGAAGACATGTAAAAGTAATTTTATTGTAAAAGCTTTGATTAATCTCCTCTTATGTCTGATAGGTGAAATTAGTCATTCGTAACCTAATTATCTTTTCAAATGTCAAACATGCTGAATCACGTAACTTTTGCAATTATTTGTTACATTAAAACTTATTTACTACAACTACAACACATACTACTGCGTAAATGATTAAAAAGGGATTCTCATTATGAACGAAATACGTCACCGACACT